GGGGCTCGGGCCGTGGGTCCCGCCCTTGGGGGCGTGGCCCCGCCGCGTTCCGCCGCGCTGTTCCACTCTTCCGGCCCTGCGCTCCATCCTCCGCCTGCACCTTCCGACCGGCACCGGCTCTCCGCCGGGCACCGTTCCACCGTCGCCCGGCCCTGGCGGCGCCCGAGCCCGCAATGTCGGGCCCCAACGGGGACCTGGGCGTGCCGGTGGAGGCGGGCGCGGAAGGCGAGGACGACGGCTTCGGGGAAGCAGGTGACCCGGGGGGGCTGCTGAAGCGACATTTGCTTTCTCAGGGGTGCCTTCTTGGAAAGGGGGATGGGGCCGGGATGGGGGCTTGGAAGCGACCTCAGAGCCTTCCCCACCCCTGCCCCTGCATGGGTCCCGAGCTGCAGGTGCCGTCTCGGCGTTCAGGGCGAGCACCTGCGAGCGGGTCCCCGGAAACCGCAGCATTCGAGAACTGTAGGCACCCGGCCCCGTTTTACAGATGGGGAAACTGAGGCCGCTTCAGGGACACTCGCCCTTTTGGAATTTGCTCCAGTCACTTCCTTCAGCCCCTGTGGAGACGGAGGCTCCTGAGGGGGCGGGGCCGGTGGCCCGTCTTTGCTGAGCAGAAGGGGCTGTCTGGGTGGGCGCGCCTGCCCTGCTGAGTCAGCATCCCCAGCCCCCTTTGCTGGTGAGGCCTGGAGCCTCCGCGACTGTGACTTGCTTACAAAGCAGCCTGTTGCCTGCACAGCACTGCCCGGGGGGGTGGGGGGGTGGAGAGAGAACCATCAGCCCCCTTCTCATCTTCTCAAGCCTCAGTTTCCCCATTTGTAAAATAAGAATAATGATTAGTGTCTCCTATTGCAGTGTGTCAGGATTAAATAGGAAAACGAATGGAAAATACTTTGTAGGTTCCAAGCATGCAAGTGTGCAGTAGGTGGTTATTATTATTCTCTTTAGTGTAATGAAGATTGGTTTATTAAGTTAGAGGGCAGGACTTAGTAAATGTGGGGTAAGTATTGAGTCTGCTTTTTGTTTTGTTTTAGGTAACAGCTTTATTGAGTTATAATTCACATACTACACAATTAACCCATTTAAATTATACAATCCAAGGGGTTTTAGGATAGTCACAGAGTTGTGCACCCGTCACCAAAGTAGCTTTAGAACACTTTCATCACCCAGGGTCTGCATTTAATAAAGGTAGAGGACCTCCCGTGGTGGGGTAAGCAGCGGGCTGGCTGGTTTGCCCTGGACACTGCTGGTGAACAGCGGCCAGATGTGTGTAATCACACCGGCAGCTGTGGTGGGAACATCAGGGAGGGCCTCCCAGCAGTCACATGAGTGGACGTTGACAGATTCACGGGACTTAGTGCAGTGGGGAGGAGGGTGTCCCAAGTGGAAGGCAAAGGCTTGGACCTGGGAAGTGCCCTTGACACAGATAACGCCTGCCCCAGTGGTGTGGAAACACCCACCTCCCCCATCCTTCTCCCGGCTTGTGTCTCATGACATGGAATGGGAAATGTTGATGGTAATGACCATCTATTAAGTACTTGCTGTGGCCAGACTCTGTCTGAGTTCTTGATATATATGAATCCTCACAACAACCCAGTTCTTACCCCCTGTTCCAGAAAGGTGCAGTGACTTGCTGGGATGGGGCAGAGCTGGGACTGAAACCCAAGTGCCCCTGCTCCCCAAGTCTGAATCTTGGCTCTGCCACCAACCAGCGAGAGGGCCCTGGGCAGGTGTCTTCCTTCTTGGCCCTTGATTTCCCCTTTTGTACCACAAAGGGGTTGGACTCTAAGATCCAGCAGGGACATTCCAAGACTCAGGTCTCTGTGAGGTGTGCCAACTCTGGGCGATGGGTGCTCTCCCTCCAGAATTCAGACACATTCACACCCATATCCCAGACTGCACTCCTCCAGCCCAGGCCTTTTCCAGACACCGCCAGCCGCTTCCCCTTTGTCCCAAGCTGGCAGCTGAGTGTATCTGAGTCATGGGCTGGCTCAGAACTGGGTCCCGCAGTGGGCACAGGCCCAGACCTTGGGTCCTGAGGGATATTGTGTTGCTGAGAGAAGCAGGTCAGGAGTGGCTGTGGAGGAGGGAGTGATAGTTTCTGGTGGACCAGGGAAGGCTTCTTGGAAGAGGAGGCATTTTGAGCTGGTCCCTGAATGGCTGTTATGGTTGAGGCATTCTGGCTGGCAAGGACAGTTGAGCAAAGGCAGAAAGTCTGGGAAGTCAGAGGCTTCATTCATTCACCCATTCATTCATTCAGGGACTCATTCATTCATTCAACAAATGCTTATTGTGTGCAGTGAGGGCACCAGGGACACAGCAGGGAACACAGGACCATGCCACCTCTCATGGAGCTCTATAGTCTGGTGGGGGAGACAGACCAGCACACAAATAATCACGGCAGTCAATCTGGAGGTGAGGGCCATAGAGGTGTGAGGAGGGCAGGGGGATCAGGAATAAAGGCGTGATCTGCCTGGGGCATTGGGAGGGCTCCCTGTGTGACATCCACGCTGAGACTTGAAGGACGAGTGGGACTGATCCAGGAGGAGAGGAGGGAAAGAAGACAGGAGGAGAACACAGCGCATTCCAGGCAGAGGCAACAGCATGTTCAAGGGGCCTGAGGTGGGCAAAGGCAGGTGTGAGAGAGGAAAGGACAAGACCTGGGAGACGGGCCTAGAGGGGGGGCAGGGGCGGGGTTTGAGAGGGGCGGGGCTAAATGGGTGGGGTAGGGCTAGAGGGGAGTGGGTCTTGGAGTCTGTGGAGTGCTTTATCCAGAGGGCAGAGAGCCGCAGAAGGGCTGGAGAGTAGGGCCTCCCTCAGGACAGAGGCCTTGATTTCCTGGGCTCTGGCCTCTAGGCAGCTAATGAAGGAAGTAGAGAGGAGACTTGGCACCTGACAGGACTTCCCAGGCCTCCCCGTGACCACCCTAACCCTAGAAAAAAGGATGATACACTAGGTATTATTTCTCCAAAGGCTTTCCTCTTTTGGTATCCACCCATTTTCCAGATGGTGACACTGAGGCTCAGGAAGGCGTAGAGACTTGCCCAGAGCCCTTCTGGAAGCAGGCTGGGGGAGAGTGTGGGAGGAGGGTGTCTGTGAGCCCTGAGGAGACGCGAGACCTTGGCTGTCTTTCCCCTTCCTCCCAGAATACGCTGCCATCAACTCCATGTTGGACCAGATCAACTCCTGTCTGGACCACCTGGAGGAGAAGAATGACCACCTCCACGCCCGCCTCCAGGAGTTACTTGAGTCCAACCGGCAGACGCGCCTTGAGTTCCAGCAGCAGCTTGGGGAGGCCCCCAGCGATGCCAGCCCCTAGGCTCCGGGAGCCCCGAACCAGACCTCAACCCTGCCTCCCTGGCCAGGCTCTGGCCTGGGCACTCACCACCTGGCTGAGATGCCGTCTCAAGGGCTGGCCTGCGGGTCCCCTGGTGGGTCTGCCTGCCTGGGCGACCCTTCTGGTACCACCCTTGGGATGCCTGGGCCAGCCCACACTGCCCGGTATCCCCTCCTGGGGCCAGGTGTGTGCCTGCGACCCACCCACCTTGTCTGCCTGCCCAATTCCTGGGCACTCCCAACTCTGCCCAGGCCCTGAGTGTCCACATTAAACGGGTCTCCCACACCACGGTGCCTCTCTCCTTTGTTTCCCAGGATGCGGATCCCAGGGGCCGCCAGAGGTGAACAGGGCAGTGGAGGCCTTCCATGATCACACTGGCAGCCCACACTGGTGGGGCTGGGGTTCCTGGCCTTCTTGTATTTCTGGACACAGAGGGTACAGGTGAGGGCTTCCTCCGCCCCTGGGGTGCTCCTGGCCAGCAGCTGCCTCCCCAGCCTGGCTGAAACAGCACCAGACAGGCTGTGCGACCCTGTGTGATGCGCTCAGCTTCTCTGGGTACTAGGGCCTTTCACTAAGACAACTAACACCAAGACATGCTGTGAAACCTTGGGCACCGCCCGCCTGTTCTTGGCCTCAGTCTCCGCAGCTGGCCAGTAACAGCGTTGGTCTGGTTGCCCATCTCTAAGGGTCTTTCCAAATGGGGAAATAGCAGAACTAAAGAGCCAACTCAGCCTGGGCCCCATTTACTGATGAGTCATCATAGGCTTGCCTGACGAGAAGGGCGGGGCCCCCACGGGTGAACCACAAACTCAGAACCAGTGGAGCAGCGAGGGCCCCGCCCCTGCACCTAAACTTCCACAGGTCCAGCTGGAGAGACAGGCCAGCACAGGGGTCCAGAGCTCAGGCTCAGGCTCAAATCCTGGCCACTCACCAGATGCATGACCTTCAGCAAGTCATTTGACCTTGCTAGGCCTCAGTTTCTTCATCTGTAACTTGGAGATAACAAGACCTACCTCCTGGGGTCATTGTGAAGATTAAATGAGATCTTACTTGAAGGTGCTTTCCTAGCCCTGACACATTATTAAGAGGGAAACTGAGGCTCAGAGAGGTGAAGTGCCTTGCGATCCCAGAGTCCCTGGTTAGGAAGCCTGTCTTTGGCCTTGTGGTTCTGCCACCACACTGTGCCTGGAGAGGCTGGGCACTGGCTGAGAGCTGGGTGGGGTGCCCCCCTTCCCCTGTACTCCCGGACAGAAGTGCTGTGGGAACTGTACAGCCAAACTACCTTGTTTTATTGGATTTTGAGTAAAAACACCAACCATGTCAAAGTTTCCACACAGACTCCTAAAAAGCTAAGCAGATCTGGAGCCGGACAGGGTGGGCTGGGGAGCTCCCGCTGTCAGGTTTTGAGGCGGGTCGAGCGCCGCGGTGGTGGGGGCTGAGGTAGAGGGGGTCGGGCCGTCACCTTGCTGGGGGTCTTGGCTGTGTCCTGGGCACTGGGCTGGATGGGTGGGCGGCCGCCAGAGGTGAACAGCGCAGTCAGGGCGTTCCGGGCGTTGATGGCACACCGGCGGCTCAGGGGCCTGGTGGTGGGGCTGGGGTTCTTGGCCTTCTTGTATTTCTGGACACAGAGGGTGCAGGTGAGGCAGGGCTTCCTCCCTAGGCTGTGGGGCCCTGTGTGATTCGCTCCACCTCCCTGGGCAGAGCTCCCAAGCTAACAGCCTGGCCGTCAGCACCCCCCAGAACACCAGCTTGACCCCTCCGCGGCTCTGATTCCCTTTGTGCCTGCCCGGGGGCTGAGGCCAAGCGCAGGAGGGAGGTGGCCACTGGCCATCCCCACTGGCTTGGACAGAGTCTGAGTCCCCAGGCAGGGTGGGGTGGGGCAGGAGGTCCAGCTCACCTGTAGGTTCTCGAAGTGGGCCAGGGTCTTGCAGTGGGAGAGCTGCGCCCCCGAGTTGCTGTGGTAGAACTTGTGGCAGATGCGACAGATGTAGCCCATCACAGGCACCAGGAAGTCCACCCCTGGGGGACAGCAGGGTCTGTGCACTCACATCCCCAACGCCTGCCAGGTGTTCCGCCCTCTCCAGGGGCCCATTTGCTCCCCTCCCCTCCAGCTGGGAGAAGAGAAGAGGACGAGGGGGGATAGGCTGCCAGGCCAGGATGCTGTGGCTGGGATCTGGGGGGTCGCTTGGGGGCTGGGCCCGGGGGCTGCAGCTCCTGTAGGTGGGGTCAGGCCTGCGGTCTTACCGTATGCGGTGTTGGGGCTGTAGGTCTCCGAGCCTTTCCACTCCTCTATGGATATATCTCTGGACCTCACCTGGAAACATGCAAGTGTTCTAAGCAGAGGGAACTAAGACTCAGAGACGCCAAGGGGCTTGCCCAGTGTCACGCCACTGCTGACTGCTGAGTGGCAAAGCCGGCCTCACCCCTAACCTGCAATCCGCCATCCACAGCCCCTCTGTGACCCCGCTTCGGCTGCCCCCTCACCACCCTGGACTGTCACGGGCAAGCTCTGTGAGGGCAGGGGCCAGGCCTTGGTCCCCACATATCCCTGGTGTCCAGCACCAGGGCCTGGCCCAGAACAGGCGCTCAAGAAACATTTGTTAAACTGAAAAGAATCCAAGCTCCTCCAGCTCCCCCAGCTCCTCGCACATGGGGGCGGCGGAGCTGGGGCGTTAGGAGGACGGACTCTTGAGTCTCACTGCCTGGCATCCAAGTTGGTGAGATTCTGCCGGGAAAAGGCTTGGTCCACGCCTGGCATATAGTGAGTGCTTAAAAATGCTGACTGCTGTCCCTACCATCATCATCATCTTACACAGACTTGTCCCGTATACACCGCATAGTCCCCTCTCTGTGCCTCTGTTGATGCTGTTCCCTCATGCCCTTTCCCTTCCTCAACACAGGTCAAAATTTCAGCCAGGCATTGAGGCCCCTGCATATTTCACTTGTCACCCTACAGTCATCATGATGTATACTTACGTACAGTCATATAGAATACGGTTCCTATTTACACTAAACTGTGGCATGCCTTAGTGCCTACAAATGCCACACAGTGCCTCCTGGCCCCTAGGAGGTGGGGTGAGGTCCCTCCCAGGCTGGGAGTCCAGCCTGCCTCCCACGCCCCCTCCCCCCCAGCACCTGCTTGCAGAATTCCTCCTCAACCTCGATTTCTTCTTCTTCATCATCATCGTCCTCCTCCTCTTCTTCATCACCCTCAAAGCAGCCCACAGCATCCACTGTGATGAAGTGGTCCTCATCTTGGCCGGCTATCTCCTTCTCAAGCATCTTCAGCTGCCCAGGGGAGTGGGCCAGGGCTCAGGTCAGCTCTGGGCAGCCAAGGTGCCACACCCGGTCCACCCTGCACCCCAGAGAGCTCCAATTCCTCTGGCCTACGAGTTCAGGCTGGGATAAACCTTAACTTGCTGTGTGGCCTGGGCCAAGGCTCTGTACCTCTCTGGGCCTGTGTCCTCCTCTGAGGGAGCTGGGGTTACCTCCTTAGCTTTATCCTTGTGCCCCTGGGACTTCACGTGCTCCACAAACTTGCGGGGGGTCTTGAAGTAGCGGTTGCAAACAGTGCAGAAAGGTCGCAGGGATTGTTTGGCGATCTGAGGAAAGGTGGGCAGACGAAGTGGGCAGCCGGCAGTGTCCCCAGGTGCAGCCAGGCAGTGCCCAGAGAGACCTCACCTCCCACCTGCAGGCTACCACATCTGTAATCAGCTGGCTGCGCTCTGCCCCTGGACCAGAACATGGGCAAACATACCCCTTCCCTGTGCCATGGCTATGAGATACGATGGCAGACGGCAACAGAGAGACAGGACAGAGAGAAGACAGGGAGAGAGGGTAGCTGCCAAGAGGACCCCCATGAACCCCATGGCTGAATGGGAGGGTGAGACTTGCCCACGCTGGACAGATGGGGAAACCAAAGCCCAAAGAAGAAACACGACTGAATCACTGAGAAGCCACACTTATGAATTATGGCCACGCAGAGACAAAGACTGACATTTACTTTCCACCCCCACCCTGGGCTCCCTCCTGCACAGCCCTCGGCTTGGCGCCAGCTCGTGTGGGTGCCTTCGCAGCACATGGCCCTCCTACCTTGTGGTCCTGTGTCCTGCGGTGCTGGATCAGGTCCCCCACGTAATAGACCTGGCAGGTGTTGCACCAGCGCCTCGGCGGAGGCTCTCTGAATGATGACAATCAAAACAAGCAGAGTGTGACACTATGTTCTCATTGGAGAGACAGCAGCTCTCCCAGATGCTCCATAATGTAACGCAATTCCAACAGGATCTTTTTTGGAAACTTAACAAAACAGTTCTGCGATTCATCTGGAGGAATACTTAAATAAGAATAACCGAGGAAACTTGGGGAGAAAATGAGATTTAGAAGCATTTGGGATGCCAGGAGGCCACCAGGACAGTGACACAACTGAGGATATCTGGCCTTGAAAATTCCTCTCCGTCCTTCAGTTTAAATGTCCCGCTGTTCCCAGAGCTGTTCTTGCCCCTCCCCCCATCCCCAGCAAGCCAGCACCCCCCCTCCCCGCCCCGCCCAAAGTGCCACCGCCACAGCATGTTCCATGATGGATTAGGAGGGCCTGATCCCTTCTCTGCCCCTAAGGGACTGTGGTGAGCTCCGGGAGGCCAGGACTCCATCCCAGGGTCCCCCACGCCTGAAGGAGATCAGCCCTGAGTTTTTGACTGTGTTGGATGAAGGAAGGAGAGGCAGCCTCTCTGAAGGACTGACCGCCACGTTCTGTGTGGCCTCAGGAGGGTCAGGTCGGAGACTCAAGGGGAGACCTCATCAGGAAACAGTTCAGTGAATCCCCTCCCCCTGGAGATTAACATCTTGAGCTCCTTCCTGGTTTCCGTGAGTCACAAAATGTATTTTTACATAATCAAGCTCATTCTGCAAATGCAATTTTCTATCTTGTTCTAGCCTGGCATTACATCATACATATGTTTCCACATGATCATAAATTCCCTGCCACTGTCCTACTTATCAGTTGTTCCACCAAATGGACAAGGCTTAACTGATCTAATCCCCTAGTTTTGGATATTTTAGATCATTTCCAATTAAATTTTTGCACCATTACATTTACTCTGCAAGGAACATCTTAGTTAGTCACCTTCCTCCTGTGTTTGTGATTATTTCACCTGAGTATCAATCCTAGGTCAGTGGGAGGAGGAGGCTTAAAGCTCGAGAATATACTAGAAAACCATGCAGGGAAGCTCTTCTCAAAGTGAGAACTGTTAACAGAGACAGAGCTAGCTGCCTTTGGAGCCAGGGCTCCCTGTCCCTCGGGGCATGCAAGCAGAGGCCACTCAAGAGCCCGTCCTGTCCCCTCACCCCACTTGGGGAGCTTCAAGCTGTGACCCTGTGTAAACGCTCATGGCAGAGTCCGTGACCACTGACTCAGCCTGTCCAGCTGTGAAAGGGTTTGATTTGGCCTCCACAGGGTTTGTTTTGTTTTAATTCTGAATTAGCTATTGACGTTATGAAATTGGGAGATTTCACATACAAATCTGGGTTTCTGGATTCTCCTGAAAAACTAGGAGATCTGGAGCTGAGGGGCAGCTGTCAAGCATGAATTCCTCACCAGGCCATTTTACAGATGAGGAAAACTGAGTCTCAAGGCCACAAGATAATGGTGTGAAGAGGGCTCTCCAAGAGAGCAATGCTTAACCCAAAGGCAGACCTTGCACATGGTAGATTCAGGGCCCCTCGCAGCCTTCCCTGGCCTGCAAGACAGCCCACCCCCAGTACGGAGTCCCCAAGATCCCCCACTCACTCGTCTTCCCTCTCTAGGACATCCCGGGGCACAGGCAGCAGGGACAGGAGGCAGGCCTGGCTCATGTGCTGGATCTCCCCGAGCCGCTGCTGATGCTGGGCCCCCGACATGTGGTCCTGGAACTCCTGCAGCGGGTGAGAGGGAGGGATGGGCATAGGAGTGAGCCCCGAAATAGCAGGCAAGGGTGGGGCCTAGGGAGGAGGCCTCCAACCTCAGCCTCATGGCCACCCCACCATGGCTATGAGGCCATTTCTCTTACAAGCCTGTGGGGGCCAGAGAAGGATGGTAAACTGAGGCACAGAGGGAGCACAGAGCAGCCAGAGCTTCTGCTCCTTGCAGAAACTGTGTGAGCACCTCAAAGATGAGGAGCAGTCTGATTAACATCCAGGTGCCCGTGGCTCTGCTCAGGTGAGCACAGAGTGACGGAGGCAATGATAGCAAGAGTAGCAGTAATACGAGTATATGCTGTTATTAACGCTGTGCTCACTCTGGGCTGGGCCTGGGGCTCATGACTTCAACGTCAAGTCGCTGAATCCTCAGAACCACCCAGTGAGGTGGGTTCTAAATGTCTCTTCATCTGACGCATTAGGAAACGGAGGCACAAAGGGTAGAATTCACCTTCCGAGGTCTACACCTCGGGGTCAGGTGAATTCCTGACTCGGCCCTGACCAACTGATTCCAATTCAGATGGTCAGGGCCGAGTCAAACCAGCTCTGCCTGACTCTAAATCCTGCCCTCCTGGCTGGTCAGGAAATGTTTTCTGAGCAAATGCCCCAAGTGCCCACTCAGGCAGCCGTCGAAAGGGCAGGCTGAGCATCCCCTACAGACCCCAAACCCTCTGCTCCGCCCACTCGACCTATCCACCCACCAGGCCCGGTGGCAGTACCTGCTGGCTGCTGCAGCTAGCCTTGCAGATGTAGCAGAAGAACTGGAGGGCCTGCTTAGAGGGCACGCTGCTGGTGGCAGGGGTGGCGGAGGTGGACTCGCCGGAACGGGGCCCGGGTGTGAGGGAGACAGTGCTGAAGGCCCGGCTGTCACTGCTCTGCAGGATGGTGACCTTCAGGGAGCCCCCGGCACCCCACATCTGCACCGGGAACAGGAGCAGAGCTACCATCAGCTGGGTGCTTATGGCGGGCCAGCCCCAGTGCTCAATATCCATGAGCATTGCCTCATCAGGGCCTTCTCACGGACCCACTTTACAGATGGGGAAACTGAGGCTCTGAGCTGTTAGGTGACTGCCCAAGCTCACACAGCCAGGAAGGACTACAGACAGGAGCCAGACCCAGGTATACCTAACTCTAAAGTCCACCCCACCCCACCCCCCACATGACAGATGGAGAAACTGAGATGCAAAGAAGAGAATGGGTTTGGCCACAATTACACTATGAGGCAGAGCTGGGACCCAAGCCCCAGGCACAAGCTCCTCTCCATTCTCTCTCCGCTAGAGCAATGGTACCCGTGGGAGGGGACTGGGGGCTCCATTTGGGGATGAGCCGGCTAGAAGAGACTCATCACCAAAAGTACTTCCGGGTCTTCAGAGCAAGGACATGTAAGGCAGCAAACAGCATGAGAGTTTGAGGAACCATCTGGTCTGCCCACGAGCCCTGGCAGGGGGCTACCGTCACATTTCACAGGTGGAGAAACATGCAGGGGCTGGACAGGGGCTGGGGCAGAAAGAGGCCATCCCATCGCTGGCCACTGTGGCCCTCATGCTGCCACATTAGCATCTCTACCCACCCCTAGCATCTCTCTTGCTCTTTTTTCACATTCTCCCACATCCAGGCCACTGGTCAAGTCCTCCTGGCTCTCCTCCATGCTGACCTGGGCACCCACGGGCTCTGGCGAGGCCTCCTCCAGGCCTGAAATGACAGATGTGCTCTGTTTCCCAGGGTCTGTCTCCCACCTGGGCCCAGAGGGACCCAGGCCTAAGAGCCACCTTCTCTGCCCACAGCCAGGACCCAAAGTCTCCAGGGTGGACGGCTCTGAACCCTGGTTCCAGGCCCAATCCTCAGGCCCAGGCAACACCCAGTCAGGGTTAGACAGTGCCAGGAGAGGAACGAAGGGTCCAGGCAGAGCTGTTCCATCACCAGGCAGCTGGGAGCCAGCACTCACTTACCTGCTCCAGCTTCTACTGTGTCAGGAGGCATCTCCAGCACTGTGGAATGAGCCGGTGCTTGCTCTAATGCTGGCACCAACACCTGTGACTGGGTCTGAGGCTGCCCCTGGGTCTGGTCCCGTGGCTGCACTGGCAACCGCACTGGAGGTTGCTCTGGTGGCTGCTCCAGTAGCTGGACCCTTGGCTGTGCTTCTGCCTGGGCCTGTGGATACGTCTGCGTCTGTGTCTGCTTCTGCAGCTGTGGCCGTGCCTGCCTTGGGGGCTGTGAATGTGCCTGTGGCTGCACCTGCTTCTGTGGCTCTGCCTCCTTCTGCAGCTGCAGCTGCACCTGCTGCAGCACTAAGTGCTCTGGAGAGGTCTGTGTCTGTGCCTGCTTCTGCAGCTTTGGCTGCACCTGGACATCCGTTGGTGGCGTGTGTAGCTGAGTCTGTGGCTGCACCTGGGCCTGGATCTGCAGAACCCGTGGCTGGAATCGTGGCAGCACTCGGGCTTCCAGTGGCTCAGGCAGCAGATCGGGTGTCTGTGTCTGCTTCGGTACTGTCATCCTGGCCCGTGGCTGGACCTTCGCCTGCAGCTGCCCTGGGGGCTCCTTCTCTGTGGGCCCCTCTGAGCTAGGAAGGATCAAAAGAAGATCAAATTCATGTCTTTATTTATTTTTTTTTTTTAAAGATTTTATTTATTTATTTTTCCCCCAACGCCCCAGTAGATAGTTGTCTGTCATAGCTGCACATCCTTCCAGTTGCTGTACGTGGGACGCGGCCTCAGCATGGCCGGAGAAGTGGTGCGTCGGTGTGATCCCGGGATCCGAACCCGGGCCGCCAGCAGCGGAGCGCACACACTTAACCGCCAAGCCACGGGGCCGGCCCACAAATTCATGTCTTTCAACTGGCCCCAGGGGCTCCCTAGACAAGCCAAGACCCAGGTTCCAATCCTAGCCCTACCACATACAAACTCGGCATTTGGGAAGCCCCTTCGGCTCTCTGGGCCCCAGATTCACCAAAATAAATTGAGAAGATCACTTGCTCCCACCTCCCACAACTTACTAATATGTATCCAAGGCCCTTAAAGTTGCCCACCCTGTGCCCACTCTGAGGTCCCAGATGCACATCTTCACCCCTCCAATCTGGCCACCTAGCCCGCCTCCAGGTGGCTCAGTCACAGTGAAGACAGCAGAGTCTGTCTGGCCTGGGGCCTTCCCAGGTAAGGTGCAGAATTAGGTTTGACCGTCCTCTAAGCCAGAGGCCAAGGTCTTTTCCTTGCTCCAGGTCCTCTGAAGGGTCCTGCCCCCAGCTACACCCCCTGCCTTTGCAGGAAGGAGAATACAAGGCACCTGAGCCCCGAGCAGCTTTTCAGCATCACTTACCCCTTTGACTTCTTGGCTGGTGGCTCAGACAACTCACAGGACTTGGGCTCAGGTGCTGGAGTGCATTTTTCCTTGGCGATGCCATCTGGGCTGGGAGAGGTATGTTGGTCTGGAATAGAGGGCAGATGAGTGACCGCTGATGCTGGATAGAGCACGAATGAGCTTCAGGAGATGGGGCCTGGGCTCACTGCCCACCAAGACCCCTGCCTCCCAGATCTGCCTCCATTACCAAATGTGTGTCCACATGCCCCAACCTGTATCCCCTCCGAAGGGCCAGCAGCCTCCCTCCTTTACCTTCTGGTGTGTCTGTTCGGGGCTCTGCGGCTTCCTCAGACCCCTCTGGGGGGTCTTCCTTGTCTTCCACAGGCATCGTCTGAGAATAAGAATCCTGCTTCCTTTCAGAAACCATTTTTGACATCTGCCACCCACCGTTCTAAATGCTCCCTTCCCCAAGAGCAGCTCCAATGGTCCCCCAGGGGATGCAGGGGCCTGGCCCCAGAGCTGCCAAGAGATGACCCTAAACACCCCAGGAACTGTGTCTAGGGGGTTCCATCTAGCCATCTGACTGTTAAGTAAACCCCGGTTTGGGGACACAAAGCCCTCCCCTGGCCCATGGTGCTGCCTCCTGACTTCCTCACCCCCTTCTCCACGAAGCAGCCAGAGGGGTGCCTCTAAAACACAAACCTGATGATGTCTTGTCTCTTTCAGGCTGAAACCCTCCTGTGTCTTTGGTAGCCCTGGAATGCTCCTTCCTTACCCCAAGCCTGAAACCACCTCCACCACCCCCTACACAATCTGACCTCTGGCCCCATCCCCACCCCTCCAGCCTCAGCTCTCCCCACTCTCCCCCTCGCCCTCGCTATGTCCACATTGGCCTTCTCTCTGGTTCCCCAAAGCCTCAGACCTCTTCCTGCCCCAGGCCTTCACCCAGAGCCTCAAAAGTGCTTCTTGCAGGAGCCCTCCTGACCCCAGAGTAGGTCCAGACCCAAAGGGCCCTGGGCTTCCTTTCTGTAGCATTGTCCACAGTCTTAATTAATTGGTGGGAGCATTATTTGCATTAGTGTCTCATCACCAGCACGCTCCGCCTCCCCAGCCCAAGATCTCCACCAGGGCCAGGCCAGATGCATCTGTGCCATTGAGTCCCCTGCTTACACTTACAGATGATTGCTAAATAAATGCACGGCTCCGGCTGGTTCCAGGGCACCCAGGAAGCCCCAGGAGGACGCCTGCAGCCTCCCTCCCTCCTACTAAGCCTGAGGAACCAGTGCTGAGTGGAAACATGCACCACGCCAAGACTCCATGCCCTTCAGAAACTGCCCAGCTCTCACCCTGCACCATGGGGCACTGGCCTATGAGTGCAGCCCAGGGCAACCCCACTCAGCCTCAGTTTTCCCATATGGAAAATGGGGGGCAGGGGAATGGACCCTAGACAAGACCATGTTAGGACAGTCTCAACTGGAAGGTTGGAGGCCGGGACCCCCCTCTGGAGGGAAATGCCTCATCTCCGGATGTGGGTTAGCCCCAGAGCAGCCAGAAAAGGGGGGGTGCTGCTCCTGCCCCGGAATGTTCTCAGGAGCGTGGTATGTGTGAGCAGCTGCCGGGACATTCAGGGACAGGACAGTTATTTCCCCTGCAAGCTCTTCGAGTCTTTCTGCTTATCTCAGGGAGGCCTCCTTGACGCCTTGAACACCTCTCAAACACACCGGAGCCAGCGGAGCCGGCGGTGCAGGCTCAGGATGCTCGGATGGCAACAGCGTAGCGTTCAGGATTTTATAACACTGTTTTACTCCCACTTTCTTTCTTTTACTTCTATGTATGGCAATTAATTTAGACTGTTTTTAACATTTCAAGTAGTGATATAATGTTTCCTTTTTAAATAAATGTAACTGAGAAGAAGCCAGTTCATTTAAAGCTGTGCTGCCCCAGATAGTAGCCACTAGCCACACATGCGTGGCTTTTGAGCACTTGAAATGCAGCAAGCCGAACTGAGATGTAAGTATAAAATACATGCCAGATTTTAAAGACTTAATATAAAAAACAAAAGGAATGCAAACTGCCGCGTTCATTTTTTTATATTGATTACATGTTGCAATAATATATATATATTTTTTGAGGAAGGTTGGCCCTGCACTAACGTCTGTTGCCCATCTTGCTCTTTTTTTCCTTTTTCTCCTCAAAGCCCCAGTACATAGTTGTGTAGCATAGTTGTAGAATTGTAGCTCTTCTACGTGGGACGCTGCCTCAGCATGGCCTGATGAGTGGTGAGTAGGTCCACGCCCAGGATCCGAACAGGCGAACCCCAGGCCGCCGAAGCAGAATGCACAAACTTAACCACTGCACCACTGGGCCGGCCCCAAAATAATATTTTTTATATATTGGGTTAAATAAAATATATGAGTAAGATTAATTTCACCTGTTTCTTTTTACTTTGTTAATGTGATTACTAGAAAAATTTAAATGACATATATGGCTCGCATTGTATTTCCACCAGGCAGCGCTGATTCAAAGAGAAATATTAGGGTATAACTAAAACTAATACAATGTGATATGTCAATTATATCTCAATTTTTTTTAAAAAAAGGGAAATATTAGGTAAATCATAGTACTGGCGGTATTTGGGCATGGGAAAAATCACATCAGGGGTTCAGGAATATCTGAAGTTTGAGAAACAGACAGGTCCAACTTATCCCCGCCCCCACCCCCAGCTCATTTTACAGATGAGGAAACTGAGGCACAAAGAGGGGTGTGACCTGCCCAAAGGCCCAGTGTGAGCCAGAGTGGGTGGAGCTGGGCTATACCCAGGTATGCCCTCTCCCACTCCTACCCCCACCTGCTCCAACCCAGCCACCACTCACCTTGCGATTAGGGGTAGTAGAGGAGGGGGTCCGGGCCTGTTTCTGGGGGGTCCGCCCTGAAAGGTTGAGCTGGGAGGGGTTTATGGGGACCCCGACAGGAGGGGGGCCCAGCAGGGACTGCCGAGTGGCCTGGGGAAAGAACTGCTGTAGATTTGGGGTGGCCAGCGGAGGGGGTGGGAGGCTGGGGGCTGTCAGGTTTGGAGTCGCCAGGCTGTAGCCGCGGAGGTTACCTGTGGGCGAGAAGAGGAGAGAAGAGGGATCACAACCGTGGTTGGGTGGTAGAGGCTAGGGTCAGGGATCAGTCCCCCAAAACATCATGGGAACATCATGGATAACTTCAAAGGGGCCCCTTTCCACCCAACGGCAGCCAGAGGGGAGAAATGAGAGCCCAAGCCCAGGCCCACCTTGGACACTGGTGGGGAGGGGGCTCTAGGGCTGGTTTTCTGCGCCAGCTGGGGAGGGGAGGGGCTCCGCCTTTTCTGGTCAGTGGCTTCAGCACCCCCAGCAACCCCACTCACCCTCAGGCATGCTTTAGGGTACGCCTTAAGGTATGTGAAAGATCTAGCACAGGACCCACAGGGAGAACAGCAAGAGGACTGGGCCCTGGAATAACAAGACACTCCCTCCCCCCACCAGCTATCCTCCATCAGAAGTCTACTGGGATCCAGGCCCTTGCTAAGCACTTCTCATGCATGGCCGCAGTCACTGGTCCCAGCCATCATCAGGAGGTATTATCGTCTCTACTGATGACAAAATAGAGACACAAAATAGAGGAGCAGCTTGTCCAGGGTCTCTGGGACCCACTGTGCACCCACTGGCCCCAGGCAGGATTCTCCTGACTCTCCCTCTCTTTACCCCCTCATCCAAGCCATCACCAACTCCTATCAACCCCGTATCCCACCCCTCTTCCTGGTCCAGCCTGACTTGCCTTTCCATCTCCACTTCCCCACTCCTTCCAAAGCCACTTCATCCCCTGCCGGAATTTCAGCCACAGCTTTTGCACCAGATAGCAGCAAACAGTGATCCTTCTAAAACCACATTCTGACTTCCCCCTTCCCCTGACCTAAACCCTTCCACAGCTTCCTGCTGCTCAGGAACAGAGCCCATTCCTCACCGAGCAAGGTCTGGCATTGCCCACCTCCTCGACTTCCTTTCTTGCCATTCTCCCCACAGATGCCCCCACTATACTCCAGCCACATGCTCCCATGCATCCCTCAAACAAGCCTCCTGTGCATCTTCCTGCCTCAGGGCCTTTGCACATGCTGTCCTTCTGCCTAGGCCATTCTGCCTCCACTACCTCCCAGTCATCCCTCATTCCTCTCTTTAGATGTTTCTCCTCTGGGAGGCTTTCCCAGACCCCCTCTGTGTCCCCAAAGGTCTTGGCTTCCCTGTTCTATGAGCAGCTGCTTTCCAACCACACTGGGAACTTCTTAAGGGCAGATACCATCTGATTCAGAGGCCCAGTGCTTGGGAAATGTTTGAGTCATAAAAGACAGTCCAAATCCTTGCCCTGATGCTGGGACAGGAAGCACAGGGGTTAAGGGCATGGATCAGATGTGCTGTGAGAGCCTGTTCAAATACAGACTCTATAGGACAAGCTCTGTGACCTTGAGCAAGTCAGTTCCCCCTTCTTAGCCTCAGTTCCCTCATCTGTAAAATGGGGCTAATAACAGTGCCTGACTCCCAATGTTTTATGAGGATTGATGAGATATACAAGTGTGCCTGGTATACAGCACGTGCTCAATTAACTTTTTTTTTTTTTTTTTTTTTAAAGATTTTATTTATTCAGTTTTTTCCCCCCAAAGCCCCAGTAGATAGTTGTATGTCATAGGTTCGCATCCTTCTAGTTGCTGTACGTGGGACTCGGCCTCGGGTTGGACGGAGAAGTGGTGCCTTGGGGCGCGCCCGGGATCTGAACCCGGGCCGCCAGCATCAGAGCGCGCGCACTTAACCGCTAAGCCACGGAGCCGGCCCTTAATTAACTTTAACTTAACCACATACACACATATGTGCAGAGACAGAATGCCAACCAGCTCTTAGAAACAGGAAGATAAAAGACGGCAGACTCAAAAGAAGAATGGACAAAGGACACGGACAAGTCACAAAAAGAAATACGAACGTTTAACAGACAAACGTGAAATGTACAACTGCACTAGCACGCTAAGAAACACAAATGAAAACATTAATGATAGAGCTTTAGTGCCAACCAAATCAAAAATTTATACATATGTATATAAAAAAGCACATAATACCCAATGTTGCCGTGGGCATGGTGAGACCGGCACTGTCATACGTGGCTGGCGGCATTGCAAACTGGTCCAATCCTTTGGGAAAGCAATTTGGCAATACTTATCAACAGCCATAAAACACACATCCCCCCTCACCCAGTTATCCTACTTTTGGGAATCCATTCTAAGAAAACAGTCTCAAGCATGATATTCATCCCAGTGTTACTTAAAACAGCAAAAAGAAAAAGAAAAAAAACAAAACAGCTGAGAAAGTTTATGTAAGCAAGAGTATGTCCCTCCAGTGGAATATTAAACAGCTGTTAGAAAATAATCTTTACGGAGATTGTCAAATTATATGGTAAATGATCATGCCATTCTATTCAGTGAAAAAGAAACATGACACAGCCTTTCACATATATCAATAACCACAATCATAAACAAATCCCCAAGTTTGTGCCTTGAAAAAAATGGGAGGAAATACACCAAAACCTTGACATGTGGTTTTTGTCGTCAGGAGATGAGTAAGTCTACATATGACCATTTGGGTTTTCTTATCCTCTTTTTAAAATATTTTTTTCACATTTCTTTGAAGAGTGTGGCCTTTAAAATGGGAAAGAAAAAGGCGGAAACATATACGTATTCATTGTGGGTCCCTGTGTGTGGTTTTATCTCTGCACCATCCATCTACCATTTGTAAATCAGCTCCCAGGACCATCCACACCCGTGTGGCCCTGGCGGAGATGGAGAGTGATGACCATCACATCTTGTGACCTGGCTGCACATGCTGCTGGGACGCAGGATAGCCTGGTGTCTAAGAACACAGCTCTGTCGTAAGACCTGGGCTCTAATTCTCCCTCTAATCAATATCTACCTGCTGTGTGACCTTGGGCACATGACCCCTCTCTGGGCTTCAGTTTCTTCATCTGTAAAATGCGATCACGAGTGTATCTCCCCTTAGGGGTGTCAGCAGAGTCAAGGAACTGGGTGTGTAAAGGCCTCAGCACAGTGCCCAGCCAGGAAGGACCACCCAGCAAGCCATGCCCACCCTGTGGGAGGGGCTGGGTCTGAACATGAGCTTGCCCCAGGTCACTGGACCCCTGGATCACTCCCACAGTGGCTGAGATATCAGGAGCAGCATCTTGGAAGGAAGAACTGAGACTGCTCTCCACATGGGGAAACTGAGGCAAGGGCACAGGCTTAATGCACAGGGCTAGAGACACCCACCCAGAATCCAGGGGGTCAGGAGGCCCAGGCCCTGGTCCAGGTCAGCCACTGCTGGTGCTGTGTGACCTAGGGACTTCCCTTCTCTGGACCTTAGCTTCCTCATCTGTCAAACAGGATGCAGAGAAGAGCTGTCAAAATAGATCTTTCCATCCATCATCTCATCTAATCTGAATGTCAGTGAAGTGTGCTGAGTACTGCCCACTAAGCCAGCACCACGGCCAAGGGCACACCTCCATGATCAGAGACCTGCATCCAGCTGAGCAACTTAGGGACTTCCACCTCCTGGAGCCTCAGTGTCCTCATCTGTAAGCTAGGACACTGCCAGTAGCTCCCTCTCAGGGTTACTGTGTGGATTTGATGAGACTTCCTGCAGTGGGGCTGCTGGGGAGCTACCATTAAGATGGAGTGAGAAAGGGCCGGTAGCCATACCTTGCAACTGCTGCAGAAGCAAAGCTCTCTGGAGCACAGAGCCGTTCAAGAGGGAGGCCGAGTTGGCGCCCTGGAGATTCAGAAGCTGCTGCTGTGGCTGCTGCTGGGGGAGCCCCCTGTGTGTTGAGACGAAGCGTCAGGGGGTGAGTGGGAGAGTCAGACCCTCTCTCTCTCCTGAGACCCCTCATCTACATTCTTTGCCCCCTCTACAGCAGAGAGAGGATCCCCTTGGGGTGGGAATGGCTGACCTCCAGGATTCAAACCGGGATGCCCCTGGGAGAAAGGGCTGGGGTGGGGGGTCTTCAAGGAGGGTCTGAGGGGCAGGCCTAGAGCCGCCCACCCCTCCAGGGGGGAACTCACCGGCTGACCGCCATGGGCAGCGGGGCCTGTGGCGGGGACTGCTGGAGCAGCTGCTGGAGCTGCAGCAACTGCTGCTGTTGCATCTGCTGCTGCTGCAGTTGTTGGAGCTGCTGCTGCTGGTTGAACATGGCGGCTGGGGGAGGGAGGGGAGGAAGGCCGGGACCCCCATCACAGTCAGTCCAGCTCCCCTCCCACCCACGGCCGCCCACCCCAGCCCACGGCCCTCAAACACTGCCTGCTGAGCTTCACGGCTACACTCCCAGTCCAGCCAAGAGCATGCCACATGTGCCCCCATCCTTTCAACATACCCCCAATTCCGCCAGCAGCAGCGGCATTCGGCCAGCCTCCCTCCAATTTCCCCCAAATCCTGCCAACAGTCCCTCCTGCAAATGCCCAACCCCGCCCTCTATCTCTCCAATTCCCACGGCTCCATCCTTGCAGGAGGAGCGTCCGACCCAATACACCTCCCCACCCCAGCCCCCAGCCTTTCCGCGCGCCAATCACGTCCGGATGCCAGCCCCTTCCCACTCACACCCCCTCGATACGTACTCCCACCCTCTCCTTCCTTCCTGCCTATTTTGTGTCGATAACAACGGCACCCCCAACGACCAAGTAGAAGGAAGGCTTCCCTCTGCCCGAATCCCCGCCCCCATCCCGCTCCCCGCTTCCACTGCAGGTACCGCCAGCGTTACACATCAGATCCGGAACCCCACCTGCCCGCGGAGCCCGCAGCCTCCATTCAAGCGGCCCCCAAGCCTTCCGTCCGGCCCCGCGTCCCCGGCGCGCGC